TAAAACTACAGTAACCAACTAGTTTCGTTAAATATATATATATATATATATATATATATATATATATATATATATATATATATATATATATATATATATATATATATATATATATATGGGATAGTTCAATTGAGAAAAAAAAGGTTGAGAATTTAGGAATAATTCTCAGCCAATCATTTATTTTTACCGCAAAAGCATCCAACGTACCGGCGGAAATGAGAAAGAAATGCACATGTGTTTTCCAACAAAACGTATTTCCTTAAACTATGCTAATCATTACTTTAATATATACAAAAACATAGTTTTTTTCATTTTTTTTATTATTTTTAGAAGCTATTTTTTTCAAAAAATGATTTTAAATATACCAAAATCCATTGATTTTTTATTCTCTACAAATAGACATCCATATTGATATAGTTTTAAGATAAAATAAAAAATTTATTTTTTTATATTTTTAGCTATCATTATTCATAAGTGAATAAAAATGCATTAGATTTTATTACAATACATTCGTTATTCACTTATGAATAAAAAGTATGATTTTTTTTTACAATTTAAGTATCATTTATATATGAATATAACATATAATAAACATAGTATATTGTGAATATTAACATAGTATATTCACTTGTGAATATTAGATGATATATTCACTTATGGATATTAAATAATATTTCATATGTGAATATTACATAGTATTCCATAGTATATCAAATGTGAATATTGCATTCTATATTCACTTGTGAATATTAGATGATATATTCACTTATGAATATTATACAATATATTCACATATGAATATTACAAGGTATATTCATTTGTGAATATATTCACTTATGAATATTTGAAGGTATTTTAACACATATATATATATATATATATATATATATATATATATATATATATATATATATATATATATATAATTTTTATATTTTATTCACATATGAATAACATACAAACTTGCATATTTATTTTGTGTTTTTAATAATCATATACTGATTCAGGTGAGAAAACATATTCATATGTGAATATAACGTGATAATTTAGTTTATGCATTTCATTAAACAGTTGGAATGCATACAAGTTAACTATTTTAAAAATGTTAAAAACATCAAGTTATCAATTCCAAATCATAATATACTTCTGATTTCGACTTCAGATGCGATATCCTATGTCTGGTCGATTTCTTATTTTGATTTTGATTTCCGAAAATCCAATTGGGAACCTGTGAGTACCGATTCTGAGTCCTTCAATGTCGACTGTGACTGCGAGTCTAGAACTCCGATTCCAATTTCATGAACAGCGAAGAAATTCTGGTTTAGTTGAAGAAATCTGGATGATTATTGAAGGTTGGAGGAAATTTTTAATGATGAACGAACTGTTATCGATACGTATTTGAGATTGAAGGTTATTAACATATTTACAAGTTTGCCACCGTGTCTTATTATGCTTAAATTAAATGAGTGACTGAGAATGATTTCCCCTTTCTCAACCTTTTTTATTTTCTCAATTAAACTCACCTCTCTCTCTCTCTCTATCTCTATCTCTCTCTCTCTCTCTCTCTCTCTCTCTCTCTCTCTCTATATATATATATATATATATATATATATATATATATATATATATATATATATATATAGGGTTAGGTTCATTTGAGACCACCTATATTTTGTGAGATCGTGAGACGCATTTTGTTATTTTTTTAATTTTTTTTTTATTTTTTTTTATTTTTTTAGTTAATTCATGTTCCGAAAATAATATTTAAAAAAAAGAATTTTTTGATTTTTCCATTTATTTTGCATTTTAAAATTATTTTTAGACTATGTACAGCGTAATATTCTATTTAGAATATTTCACGTATTTTTCAAAAAAAAATAGAATTTTTTTTATTTATTATTTTTTTTTTTTAGTTAATTCAAGTTCCGAAAATAATATTTAAAAAAAGAATTTTTAGATTTTTCCATTTATTTTGCATTTTAAAATTATTCTTTAGAATATGTCAGTGTAATATTCTATTTAGAATATTTCACGTATTTTTCAAAAAAAAACGGAATTTTTTTTATTTTTTTTTTATATTTTTTTATATATTTTTTTAGTTAATTCAAGATCCGAAAATATTATTTAAAAAAAAGAATTTTTGGATTTTTCCATTTATTTTGCGTTTTAAAATTATTTTTAGATTTGGTCTCATGGTCTCACAAAATTAGAATGGTCTCAAATGAACCTGAACCTATATATATATATATATATATATATATATATATATATATATATATATATATATATATATATATATATATATATATATATATATATATATATATATATATATATATATATATATATAACATTTTATCCTTATAGATATCGTTACTCGTTCACCTGTTTTACCCATACATGACTTAATCACAAGAAAAAGTAATCCCTCAATTCTAATCCAACGCAACCAAACAAACTTCAATCTGTTATGTCATGTAACAAATATAAAGACCAATAAGAGTAGATGATATTGTAAAGGACCACCAAAGTAATCGAGTGTCGATATAAGATAGAAAGTGAGAGTTGGGCCCTTGAAATGTGTGGGGGAGTTAATAATGGATTAATTCTGTATTGTTTGTTTCAATATATCCAACATTATATGTCCCTTTCTGTTACCTTAGTCCCAATAAACCACGATGGATATTAATATTATCATGTCGCTTTCTTCATTTTGGTCCCAAAAACCCACCTTCACCTTCAAAAAAGATGCTTAAATTTTTATACAACCCATAGTGCCCACGTTTAGTGGCCCCGATATGCTGGGGGTAAAAGTTAAACACGGTTTTATAGCAAAATTGGGTTGATTCACTTGATTGTTTAACGTCTATTGCTAAAAATCACCAAAATTGGACCATTTGAGAGAGACTTTGTTACAAACTCACATGTTGGTATGGCCCCCTATCATATGAAGTGTTGCATATGGGCCTTTGTAGTTTTAGTTTAGATTCCCTTGTTGATTATTGATATACAACATGAAGAAAGATGATACGAATCTTTTAGATTTTAGAAGTTGGTTATGAATGTGATCATGTCAAGTGTGATGCATGTTTTGGTCAACCATTCAATACTTTGTAACATCATGTGATTTGTTGCTTTAACTATAGCGAAGTGCACACTTCACGTTAAATTAGTTCATCATTTGCTTTGAGGCACTCCATTACAACTAAGGATGCTACTTATAAAGAATATATTCAGACCATTGAACATTTATATATATTTACTTAATGAAATAAATCCATATGTTGTTCATATCATAATGTACATCGAGAGAGGAATTGCCGATTTGGAAGACACCGAAAGTAATTAAATAAATCCATATGGTGTTCTTAGACCTTAAGGTTGGAGACACTCGTAGCATATAAACCACACTCCCTACTATGTCACGTAGACGCTACATAGGCTGCATGTTAACTTTACCACATAAAGTGTGGTTTTTTACCACACTAGGTGTGGTGTACACACACACACAGAGAGAGAGAGAGATAGAATGAGGGAGAGTTACTACATGCGGCCAAACCATACAGTCAGGGGCGGATTTAGGGGGGTCACCGGTGGCACTGACAACCCCTAAATTTTCCGGTGGCAGTGGAAAATTTTTCGAAATTTTTTAAAATTTTTATTTTTTCTATTATCGTGCAACCCCTAACTTTCCGGTGCACCCCCTACTGTGAAATCTTGCTTTCGCCCCTGCATACAGTGGAAACCGTGTTCCCTAGCACCACCATGACAAAAGTCCGGTAGAACCGTACCCACTCCCTTTGGTCTAAGAAATATGACTTCATCAGGGGTCGACACTTAGGTCATTGATTTTTGCTTTGATTTCAATTAAGTTCTTTATTAGATTCCAAAAAAAATATGATGATGTCATTGTGATGTGATAGGCACGATGAGGGAATCAAATGGTATGTTGGAATTGGATATTTGGAGTACGAGGATGGAAGAAAAAGGTTAAAAATAATACATATAAGATGGAATATTTTTAGTGGAATTTAAGCACTTTGCATGAAGGTGAGGGAGTATGCATTTAGGAGCATTACTACACTCAAATGAGAGTTACGGATACTTGAGTTGTAGCATTGATGGTTACGGTGGGAATTAAAACTTAAAAAACAGTCTTTAAAAACCAAAAAATATTTTTTTTACCTTTTAAAAAAAAGAGGTCAAAAATATTTGTTTATGTCTTGCCTCTCTTTTCTTCTAAAGTCTTGCAGCCCACAAACATAAGAGGTTAAAATAACTTTCTGCAAATAAATAATAATAATAATAATAATAATTATTATTATTATTATTATTATTAATAACCGCATAGAAGTATGCCTTTACAATGGAGGGCGGCTTCATGATTTTTACAGGACAAAGTTCATGTAGCTAAGCTACAGCTGATGTTGTGCAGAGTGTACAGTATTCTGTACAATTTTAATCCTTTAATTTTATTTTGACAAAACTATAAAATTGGTTCTAGTGGTATTAAAAAAAAAACTGTGGATATAATTCAAAAAGTTTTCAACTTTTATAGATAGTCTAAAATCACTTGCAACCCTTATATTTTGTAAATTGATATTTTCATTCCTTTACTTTTAAAATATCATTTTTACCCTCTTCCACCTTAAACTTTGCAAAATATCACTTTTACCACTTTGTTTTTCACTCCTAATACGCAACAAAAACACATAAAAACTCGCTGCAAAACGTAGACTCAATTACTAGTTAAAACTAAAAAGAAAATTCTATAGGGCGGCAGTTAGGCCAACAATCTCGTACAAATCGATACGATAAAGGAAAAAGAGACCGCATGAAAAGAAGATAGAAGTTGTGGAAAGAAAGATGTTATGAAAAGAGGTATCACATAACAATATTAGACAAGATATCAAATTTGGTTATCAAAAATAAGTTTGCAGTAGATAAATGAAGCATATGCATATCCATTGGAGAAAGGACATTATATTAGTGTTGTACATCAGCAAATTAATCACACTACGAAATCAAATGAAAAAAGGTGCAAAGGATTTCATATTTGTACATCAGCAAATTAATCACAAATACAATTAGACATAAATATGAGCCATATGAAAGTCACATGGTGTTATATTTGTAAGCTACGAAACAACAATATAATAACTTTATAAGATTTTGTCAAACCTTTTTACCTGATAAATTAAGCTTATATTATCATAAAACCATGTCACAAAAAAATGTCTGTCATTAACTTTTGTATACTTTTGAAGATGCTCCAAAGATTTAAAGGAATAACTTCATGAATAATAATTAATTTTGTGAAAGAGGTCCAGAAATAGACCCTTGGCAAAAACTTAACTAAAATCAAACTTTGTTTACTTAATTAATTAGGTTAAATGCAATAAATAGCAATGTATTTTCCAATTCTATTTATTATAGCATTATACTTTCATTTCACATTTTCACATCAATGTCATAGGTTGTGGGGAATATCATACAAAACACCAATGTTGTAGCAAGTTTCAAGAGATGAACAAATAAATTACCAAATTCCACAATAACTTGCTTACTCAATGGAAAAACGGGGAAAACGATTAACAATTTTTCAAGATGGCACTTCAAATATATTTTGTTGATACTAAAAATTCTTTCAAATTTATTGATGTTTGAAGAGTATGTAGAAGAAGAAGAACAAGGTGGTGAAAAAACAAAAGTTTCGAAGGCGAATTATACTACTTCATCAGATGCGCAATTTAGGATTGATTTGAACAACATGGGTGAGCTCGAACTCGAAAAAGTAGTTCGACCAATAGGGAGAAATAGGACGAAAAAGAAAGGGTTTTCATCAAATGCATTAGGTGTTGGAAGTGGCTCTGACATTCAAAAGGTCACTTCTAGTTTAAAATTTTATAACTTGAATTTCGAGCGTCGTTTGAATTTTGAGAAAGAAAAAATGTAACAGATAACAAAAACACAAGAGGCGAAACAAAGAACTTGTGTAGAGAACCAAAAAATGCATTATTTGAAATTTTTAACAAAACGAATCGATCATCTCACTAGCAACAAACACGATATGGTTTCGTAGGCTAGAGCAGATATTATGAAAAAAAAAAATTATAATTAGTTGTATTTTGTAGTCGTATTATTTTAATAGTCATTTTATCTTATATGGTCGTTTTATTTAAAGTATCATTGTAATCGTTTTAATTAAATTAATGAAATATTTTCCTTTTATTAATTTTATAAAATTTCATTTTTATTAAATTGCATTCAATTAAAAAAAATGTTGTAAGGTGTGAGAAGACATCCCCTAGTTTTATGGGGTGATGGAAAAAATGATGACGTGGCACTACAATAGTGTGGTGATTGTGGTATAACTTAAATATGAACCATATGCACAGATACATGGTGTCATATCTGTAAACTACTAACCCAACAGCCAACCATGTAACCACATTTCTCATAGACATTTCATCAAACACCTTACAAACACTCTTCCTAATTTAGAGACATTCACATCAACATTTCTCTTAGACATTTCATCAAACACCATACAAGCACTCTCCCAAATTTAAAAACATTCACATCAATCGCATTTGAAAAAATAAAATGCTAGAACACTATAATAATCAAAATCCATATCAAAACTTTTGTACTACATTTGAAGATGCTTCGCATATACAGTTAAAATTTTACTTCCCAATTCTATTTATTATAGCATTATACTTTCATTTCACATCATTATATTTCCAAATTATTTCTTAAAAAAAAACATAGCACTTTGAAAAATTTACCTGTAAATAAGCAACTTTGTTGATTTGAATTATGCAGGTTTTATGCCATGTCATTGTCCACATGGGATATATCTAATGCTGATGTGGCAAAAAAAACATTTTATAAAACAATTTCAAAGTAGATTTTTCAAAGTACATTGCTTTAATAGGAAATAATATGGAAGTACAATGCTATTACAAGAACAAAAATGAAATGTACATTGCTACTTTTTTGCATTTATCCCCTAAATTTAGTACTATTGTATGTATTATCATAGCTTAATTTAGTACTTCACAATCAATAAACATCTAGTATAGCTTAAATAATAAATAGTCATGATTGAAAAAATGGAGAAATTGGAGCAAAATAGTGGGATTACAATTACCATTTGATTTACAACATCCATGGCGTCATGTACAACTGCAACAATGATCCTTTCTCCTTTCTCCTACATCAACAAAAGCATCTGTATAAAACATCAATGATCTCAAATTCAAGAAGCTATAATATTGTAGATTTTACATACCTTTATTGATCACCAAGAAGAAAGTTGAGAATCATACAGCTTTTAAGCTCCAAATGCAGAACATTAAACACGGAAGTATCTAGAATAATCAAAAATTTCATGAACAGCAAGAGGGATATGATCATATGAATATGATCCATTTCTATTAGTGATCCGTTTTCCCTTGTTCTAGTTCATGATATGAATATGAATTAAGTAACAGATTAAGATTTAAGATATAGAATCGGTAGATGAAGGAAATAATGGAATGATCGCAGCTAAAATGATATTAAAAAAGACCAGAACTTTACATCTGTTGATTTGCTAATAGAAGTTTAGAAAGAAATTTCTACAAGCTACCAATACCATCACCAGAAACATTTCAGAAAACTTCTAATCCGTAGAGAACGCCGGCGTACTTCTCAGGTCCGCCGCTGCAAAGAACCTTAATCTTCTGAAACGCGTGCCAAGTCAGCAAGCTATCGGAACCTGCCTGGTGACACTTCCCAACAGCCCGATCGACCTCCAAAGTCTTAGCCACCCGATCCAACCCACCATACAGACTCTCACAGTACCTCATCAGATGCTTAACATCGTAAACGTTAGCCCCAAAGAAAGTTTTCAGAAGATCGAGAAACCTGGACAACTCATCGGGCAAAACACGCCCAGCGAGGAGCTTAACCAAGTAGCCGAAATCATAAGCGCTGTGAAACGTAACCCAGCTCACACGCTCGTTACAGACAAGCCCTGAAGACATCATCAACTCCGAGAATTTCACCGAGTCAATCCCAAATTCACGATTCTTCTCGAAATCAATCCCTTGTCGCTTCAAAAGTTCGATCGAGTCAGAAGCGTGCTGGTCGCGTGACGGATCGAAGTCGTTGAAATTAAATTCCCAAATGTAACGAGTGTTGTTGTTACTCTCATCGAGATCCGGGAGATTTCCTTCAGCGTCGGTGAGGGTGAGGCCAACCTGGATGAGTTTCAGAGCATCGACATTCGATTTGAGGAGGAGATAGTGATCGGAAGGGCTCTGGTTGCGAAAGTAATCATAACCCGCGTTAGGGCGTACGACAACGCCGGGAAACTCCGTGTCCATTGAAACAAAAGGGTAATCATCGATTATTGATGTGATCAAATGGAATTCTGATTGTAGATTGTACGCAAAGACGGAACGAACGACGATGCGTGGCGGGGGCGATGGTGGCAAGTCCTTTAACGACATGGCAGAAGGAATCTGTGAAGGTGATTGGGTGATGGGTGATCTGGATTCTGAATTAGGGTTAGCAGAGGGTGTATGTATATATAAAGAGGAAGGAGACGAAGAAATGGGGGACGTGAAGACGGTTTGATAGTGGGAATGAGTGGGGGGGCATAAACAGACCCGGGCCATGGTACGAATACGAATACGTGTTCAGCTTTTTCTTTCTTTTTCTGTTAATAATGACAAAGATAATAAAATAATATTTGTTTGCATTTTTTTAATCATTAAATTAAATTAATTCTTGTTTTTTGGTCATAATTTTTTGATTTAAGTATGTAGTTTTGACTTTTAATTTGATTCTCATTAGTTGATTTGTATGATAAAGCGTGTCTAATCATATGAAAAGATAATTTAGTGGAGAAAATATATTTGAATATTCATAATAATTTTTGTTTTAATATTTGAATATATAATTAGGTTTTATGATTATATTTAATAGTATGTTATAACATATTGCAAATAATACGACAAAAAAAAAAAAAAAAAGTTGTGACTAGTCAATCATATCTAAACCTTCTTGTCCCATTTTAAAGATGAGACATGTTACCTTTAATTTATGCTTTTGAAATGTGGTTTTTAGCTTTTTGTTTTGAACTATTGTCTAAATTTTTTATTAATTCATACATTTTTTTTCAATCAATGAGTGCATCAAATAAAAGTGAAATTAACAAAAAGCAAAGTATTTAATATATTAATTGAAATTGAAAGATTAAAAGAAAAGAAAATGACGAATATGATTGATCTTATTGTTTGCTTTTTAAAAAAATAGTTAAAAATTAGTCAAACAATTATATTAGTTGTTATTTCAAATATGCTAGCTACAAAATAGGTAGACGATCTGCGAAATCATCAAAACGATTGTACCACCTGTTTTTCAGAATAGATCAGTTGAAGACCCGGAATGATCAAAAGTAAAGTTTTTGGAAGAGCCTTATGACATGACGTGGAGAATGGAGTGTCACATCGTTGCATACCAATTCAAGAACGAGCGTCTGGACGGCCGACACGGTTTGACAAGAGGAAGGTCACGGCATGGCAGCCGATGCAGCCCAAGCCTACGAGTTTTAGGGTTTTATCCATATTTAAGCACCTAATTTGAAGGATTAGGGCATCCTTTTCAGCCTCCAACCATTTCAAATGAAATCCTAGCCTCCATGCCTAATTAAGGGCTTGATTTCTTGATTTAGAGCTTATTCTTTGGATTTTGGTGAAGCTTGGGGAAAAGTGATGGGTTTTATACAAACAATCATATGTGTGCATGCAACCCTAGAGTTGGATCTATGTTTTCACTATTAGTTATACAACTTTATGAACACAAAAAGAAACCTGACATGCTACTATTATTTTCGAAATTCATATATAAAAATAGAATACATACATTTTGTTGTTACATAGCAATAACAACTAGTTCCTTGAATTTCCTTAGCTCTTGAAAGCAAGTACCACAAGTGTAGTACCTCTAATGGCTCACCAACACACTAGGTGAAAGGATGAATATAGGAGAGAGGAGAGAAGGATATCTTGCCCTAGATTTCATCCCTTTTAGGGTTTCCCAAGGCTTGGATGAAATCTTAGTAGCTTAGGGTGCTATTTATACTTAAGGCTAACTAGGGTTTCAAGGTGTAAACCCTAATCCCTTAGCTTATGGCCTGAGCAATTCCATGGACTCCTTTCCTTAAGCCCTTGGACGAAAGCTCCTAGATCCTTCCTGGATTTTCGTTCAAGCCTTAATAAAGGTGATCCAATGGCCCAAAGTCTCAACTACTGAATAATTACAAAATAGCCCCTACACTTTCAGTCAGTTCCTTTAATCCCAAAATTAATTCTAAATTATTTTTTGATTAAATACTAGTTAATAATATGATTCCAAATTAATATATTATTCATATAATATACTAACAAATCATATTTATACCCTAATTTATTATTCTTAACAATAAACCAGCCTCTCTCCTCAACAATCATCATGTCTAGTCACCAGTGTGAAGGAAACTCAAAAGGATCATGCACAATCGGGTCAAGTACATACCAAAATTGTTATGGACTTAGACACTAATCCAAAAAAATGAGAGGTTCATCATGGTGCAAGGGAACAAAGAGCAAGTTTAGATCCAACATTTTCTTAATATTTATGGGTTGTTAAAGGTATAAAGTTCATACCTAGACACTTATGCTTTTAGATTCAAGTTTGAGGTCATATATGGGTTGTTTTAGTCCCTTCCATAGATGCTCTTGGAGTTTGAGGAACTCTAGAGCTTGATATGGCTCGTCTATGGCCAAGACGTTCTATAGAAAGGGCAAATGAGACATGTTGGAGTCACCTTGTGTTTATGCAAAAGTGTTGGCTCCATTAAGGACTTAATGGAATTAGGATGGTAGATCTAGCCTTAGAATGGACTCATAACGGATAAAGTTGGAAACTTTATCCATTAAGCCATTGAAAAGAAGTAGATCTAAAGTTTTAGGTCTGTCAGAAGTCACGACATGGCCAAGGGCTTGCCATGACGTGGAGATGCTCAAATGATCTATTGTTTTGTCCTTAGTTGACCAAGAAACGGCCAAGAGTGTACCACGATGTTAGATTCGTTGACCTATTCGTTGACTTTTGTTGATCGTTGACCATTGGTTTTTGACCAGTTTGACCTCGGGTTTAACATATAGTTTTAGGTTGTTAGTCAATGTATATTCTTTAAGTGGGTGATCGTCGGTTCACAGGATTATCCAATATGATGATTTGAGAGTGTTGCAGTGTTATCAGAGTTTGCATTTTAGGTGAGTTTTCTCACTATAATTTGTACTACAATATATATCCTTGTGTATACGATGTTGGTATGTGTTGGGGTACAAAGTTATTCATGATTGACTTTGTAAATGTTTGACTTTTGTAAAACTCACTTGCATGTGGAGTATTAGCCTTTTGACACATGAGAGATAGAGAGTGAGAGAGAGACATGTAAACATCTCTATATAAGGTGGGTTCATACCACTTGTAGAGGTATGCTTGAGAGATGTAGTCATAATGATTAGTGAGTGAGATATTTATGAAGTTCTAGACTAAATCCCTTTTTGTACTCATTTATTATGATCGGAAATATATTTTAGCACCCAAATCACCATGTTCAATTGTGAAAACTTAATTTCGCATGCCAAACCATGTTCTTATGTCACTACAACTGGTATCAGAGCGGGTCTTCAAGATCAATGTGATTTTTGAAGAACGATTCTCGGTTTGGCAACTTTTGTCGTTATTTGAACAATTTTAGTGAGTCTCTCTCTATGATCTCTCGTAATATTTGATTCGTGATTTGCGTTTTTCATTTTTTATCGATTTATCTCATTGGATCAAATCCGTTTCAATCCCGTTGATAGTGTAACGTCCGTAGATCTGGGCTAGTCAATTTAGAGGAAATAAGTATCGAAAATGACTTTTTGGCAAAATATTATTTAGAATAAATAATCTTAACCAAGTTGTAGTGTATATTACAAGGTTTCCGTACATATAAAGACCGCCGAAATCCGAGTTATAACGAAGAAGTTATGACTCGTCGAAGTTTTGCGACGGAACCAGCACGACACCGGGAAACGTAAATAGTGAATTTACGATAGAGCAAGATTTAGCCTTAGCGATCCAAACAAAAGTCGTAGAATACGTTAAACCGAAATCGTCCATAAAAAGAACGCCCAACTCTGACTTCGTATGAGGAAGTTATGATTTTTCGAAGTTTCGGATTAGCAGTGTACAACCCAAAATTTGAATATTAGATCGAGCGGTTTTTAACCAACACAACCTAAACGAGAATCGAAGATCTTGTTATTAGTAGCGTAATGATAAAAAGACAGATGAAAATGGACATCGGATGAAGAAGTTATGAGATCTTAACGGACCAATCATGTCCCCGCCTGAATATAACTTTAAAAATAAAGTCAAAATTAGCCGACGAAGTCTAAACGAAAGTTGTAAAGTACGTCTCCACCTGCGTGTGGATATAAATAACGTCAAATAGAGTTCGTATGAACGAGTTACAAATTATAATAGCATTTATACGTACACACACACATACACACACACACACACACACACACATATATATATATATATATATATCATTAAAAAGGTATTGACGATGCGGTCATTATAAGACTAATGTTGAGTTCTTTCGACATTAGTTTAGTACAAATATCGTTAAATTTATTTAAAATAGTATTATAAAGGGGTGTTTAGTTGTTTATATAACTAAAATGTCATTAAGTAATTATGGAGAGTAGTTTTTGAAAATTTAATTAGTATAAAATAGTATTATAAAGGGGTGCTTAGTGCCTATTGGACAAACACTGGTAGCTATGGACTTAGTACATGTTAGGAATTGGTAGCTATGGACTTATTACCTATTAGACAAACACTGGTAGCTATGGATTTAGTACCCAACAGCTATGGAATTAGTGCTTTACGAACGAGCATTGGCAGCTATGGATTTAGTGGCAGTCCTATAACTCTAGAAGCAAAGGACTTCAGAATGAACGAATGTGGGATAGATGAATCTTAGGATAGATCCTTAAGAGTAAAGAAGATAATGGGGATAGGTAACTGGGTCGATTGTTTGATTGTTTAAACATAATAATTATATTATTATGGGTTGAAAACCCTATGTACTCACCAGGTTTCCCAACCTGACCCACTCAGTTTATTTATATTACAGGTGTTGAGATGAAGTCACATTACACTGAGAGATTAAAGAGATGTAGATCACTAGTGTAAATAAATGTAAGTTCTGTTTATGCTTATGTTTCTGTATTGACAATGACATCCAAATGTTTTAAAACGAATTAAAAATACTTTTCTTTGGAAATGCTTTGATAACGTATTTATCATGTTTTATTGGGAACAAATTTCGCAACATTTTTATTAAAAGAGGTACTTTGATTTTTGTAAAGCATAAACAAAATCAGTCTTTTCTGGCCATGAAAATGGAGATGTCACAGTTGGTATCAGAGCATTAGTTTAAGTGAACTAGGAATTTGTAGGAAATTTCTAGACTTAAACTTAGAGTGCTAAGTGATGATTGTGAGGAGTGTGTCTAATAGATTTAGGTAATACACCTGAATAGACACAAGCACTAGCTTATTTTAGG